TTCCAGGCTATGCCATTTGTCGCACGTATTTCTGCGTATCTGATTGACAAAATTGACCCGGAGCTGCATATTCAGGTGACTAATGAGATGACTAGAGTTGCGCTGACGGCGAACTCGATGGGCGATCTCATGGGGTATGTTATACAATATTTAGGCGGTGCTATTCCTTATAGCGCGTATAGTGGTGTCATACGGATCATTAGCTCGATTGGCGATAATTCCGGCGCTAGACAAAGTAGTGCTCAGGTACCTTATTTTTTTTCTTATATTTATAAATTCATTTTTATCTAATATGTTATCAAACACCACATAATGATTATTCAATTAAACATTCAGAGTGGAGATATTGGAGGGAGCAGCACCCGTTCTCGTAATCGGGATAGAGATACCCCCGCCGACGACGATGGATGAGGTTTTTTTATTTTTAATGCAATAAACAGTTTTATTTGTTATAACACTACATTTATTCATGTCGTGTATCATATCTTAGTCACTGGCATTGTTAGTATATATGTTGTTGTATGTGTTTTAGACGGAACTGATTGATGTATATTTTGAAGTAGATGGTTGGATTTGTACAATGTGTTGGATTTGGTTATATAGATGTTTTTGAATGGAATTGTTATGAATTTTAATTATGATTGGATGGTTGAATGTGGCGTGTACAGTATTTTCTGGATGTATTCAAATATTAATGTAATTGTACAGGGAAATACAAATTTTAATTAATTTTTTTTTCCTGAAAAAAGACAATCTAGACGGAATTCCGTCTAGATTGAATTAACCTAGACGGAATTTCCGTCTAGGTTGTAAAAAACCAACCTAGACGGAAATTCCGTCTGGGTTGGCAACCCAGACGGAATTTCCGTCTGGGTTGGCAACCCAGACGGAATTCCGTCTGGGTTGACAACCTAGACGGAATTCTTTATTCCGTCTAGGTTGACTTCCGTCTAGATTGATCAATCTAGACGGAATTCCGTCTAGTTTGAAGCAATCTAGACGGAAGCAAAATCAACCAATCAAACTAGACGGAATTCCGTCTAGATGAACTAATCTAGACGGAATTGCAATTAACCTAGACGGAAATTTCCGTCTAGGTTGATCGTTTTTCTACTAGTGTCTCCTTCTTCACTTGTGGACATAGGCTACAAGTTGAATCACGTAAATTCGTGTGTTTTGTTTTCTCAATATTTTTTCTGTGTTTTCATGTGATTGATATTTGTTTACCTCGGAGATTTGTCATAATAGAATGAATGATCATGGGAGTTCATCATGAGCAGGCTTAAGCAGGCTTTGTGTTAACAAGTCAGATCTATATTTAGTGTATAGGCTCAATTCATGTTTTATAACTTAGGCAATTGTATTGTAATACATTTAGTTTTTGCTACTAACTGTAGAATCATCTATCGAGAATTTTATGTTTGAGTATAGTTGCACATTGGAAAATCAAGAAAGTGAACTTAAATAGGATGAGTAGTCAATACCTAATAGCTTGAGCATATAGGTTAATATACTTACTAGCCTCTATTTAGAGTTTATTCACACTATAGGGCGCATGGTTTCTTCCTAACAAGCGGATTTATAGTCTGGTTTTCCAATAAAAAATTCTGAAGGTTTTGAGAAAATGGAGGTCAATTATATCACTAGCCCTAGATGGTGGAAGATTCTAGGATGGTTATCATATTGATCCATGGTCATTGATGCTAACGTTTGCTTAAAATACACATGGTGTAGATCATATATATGCTGATCATGTTGTTAGTGCATGAATATTGGTTTAAACCCAAAAAACCAGGACGATGGATGACGTCTGAGATTGCATATAAGTGTAATGATAGTCTAATTAGCCCACAGGTGATAAAAGATCCTACAAATGTTGATTGGTCATGTCGAATCTCTATAGCTTCTGGTGGGCTAAGTTAATGAAAGGAACATGGTTCCCATAGATGATTCAACTATACTCATAAGTAGAGAGAAATTTGGTTGAGAATTTTATGTGTGGGTATAGGTCTCACATTGGAAATGTTAAGAATGACTGACAGACTTAAATAAGAGTGATTCATTATAAATGTAGTACTCACCATACCTCTCATGAAGTGTACTCATTCCTAAACTCTCCTTTATATATAAAGAGATATTGGTAGAACTCTTAAATGTACAAAATTAACATGTGTCATGTTATAAAGGCACGGAAAACTAACATGTATCGTATCACACATATACATGTGTCCCTCTATCTTATTAGAAGATGACATGTGGACTACGATTTCCATGCCTACTCCCATCGTCGAGTCTTTGATTCCCGTTGAGGACTTGGCAATGTTTGAGCCTACTGGGGATGCGATGACTTTTGAGCTCTCCAAATGTAAAACCCTAAAATTTGAATATTTTGTGATAAATAATAATAAATATGTTATATATTTATAAATAATATATTATGATGTTTGAGTATGCTAGGAATTGATTTGAGATCAATTCAATGTATATATGTATATATATAAGAGCAAATGCACAAATCATGCTCGATGTATAAATCTGGAAATTTATGACCAGTAGAGAGTTTATGTATTTTACACACTGCTACGTTATGAATATGAAAAAACTTAAAAGACCAAAGTTGTAGATATCTTCAGCAGATTTCCAACAAATCTTTAATAACCTCATTCTGAGGTCGGATACGAAAGTTATAGCTAAAATACCGAAAAGTATGTTTCAAGTCATACTGGGTTTTCCAGATTCGGGTTTCGGGTTTTGGGCTGTAGTTTTTTGGGTTTGCTATCATATATACACATGTTTAAAACGAAAAATACCTCTTTTCTCCTATGTTTCAAACCCTAGCAGCCCCCTTTCCCCTCTCTCAAACCCTAGTTCTTTTCTTGGCAATTTTGAGGGATTTCGGAGGATTTTTCAGCGGGTTTTGTGCAGTGCAGCGAAGGGGATTAGTTCTCTTACACATGGCAGGAGTTTTTCAGCATCTGAGGTGAGTAACATCTCACCCAAATGTTCACCCTTTTATTTTGCACGTTTTATTAAGTTTTATTCGGATTTTTTGAGCCTAAAACCTATTTTTCATGTACATAAGATAGATCTTTATAACTTATGAAGTGAGAATACATTATCATAATTTTCTAATTGATTACAACAGTAACCTTGACAAATTTTAGATCAGAAATTTATTAATCATGAATTAAATCACAAGTTTTTGCTTTTAAAACGTTTAAACATGTGTATATAAATGTTTAGGGTTTCGACGATATATTTACATGCTAATATTTTCGTTTCATGTTGTTTCATATATGTTGATATCAGTAATATTATGTTTGGAAAATAATGATGTTACTGCTAGATTTGTTTCGAAGCAGACAGAAACCTGTGAAGGGTTTCTGCATGTTTCGGTTGATCGCCGGCACAGTTTGTGCATGTTTACTTTTGTTATGTGCTTTAATGTGAACGAGGAGTTGCCTCGAATATTTGGCATTAGAAATATTTGTTTATTATGTATCTTCATATGTGAGATGGCTTGCGGACATGAGTTTAGATTTGCACACCGAGACACGTGTGAAATTAGTGTATATGCATCCTTTTCATATATATCATCGATATTCTATAAATTTCATTCAGTCCATGTGTTGGGTAATTATTATGTGCAGTCCATGTGTTGGACATTCATCATTTTTAGTCCATGTGTTGGACATTCATTATATTCAGTCCATGTGTTGGACATTCATCATTTAATCTATGTGTTGGACAATTATTATATGTAGTCCATGTGTTGGGCAATTATCATTTTCAGTCCATGTGTTGGACATTCACCATTTAGTCCATGTGTTGGACAACTATTATATGCAGTCCATGTGTTGGACACCTGTTTAAATCTTGAGTATGACACTTACACTTACATAGGCTGGACATGACACTTATGTGGGTTTTGACATGACATGGTATTTGAGTTTCGAGATGGGTTTGTCTTCTTTTATTATTGTTCCTATATTAGATTTTGGGTTTGGTATTTAGGGATTTACAATTTGAGATACAAGGTATATACATGAGGGTTTCCTTGTTTGGATTATTTCGCTCGACGTACCTATGCTCGTGTTGTAATTTCCTAAGTACTAAAACCCTCTTTTTATTAGGGATTTACAATTTGAGGTACAAGGTATATACATGAGGGTTTCCTTGTTTGGATTATTTCGTCGACGTACCTAAGCTCGTATTGTAATTTCCTAAATAGGATCAGTGATTTTATGTATATATATGTATTAAATGTATTTTCTGTATACAACGAGCCCTATCCCTTGGGGTTGGTTGTGATGTTACTCGCTAGCGCTTTGACGCTCGTTGTCCCTCCCCTTTTCAGGTAACGAGCCAGGTGCCCAGAGAGTCGCAGGTTGATAGCGATGCACTTTAGCTTCGGCTGTCTACTATAGTTATATTTTTCTTTTGAGCTTCACTGTAGACTTTTGTTTAGATATTTGAGAGTTTTATTCTAGAACTTGTAAAGACTGTGTGCCTTATTTCCTCTTATACAGACATTTTATATTTGATACTTGTTGAGGCTCTAGTTTATTTATTCCAGACACTTATCTTGTATTTCTGTATGTTGGATGATGAAATAATAATTTGATCTTTATCATTTCATCAGTCATCTCGTGTATTATCTTTTACTTGCTTTTGTACCTACACCTGTTATTGACTCTACTAGAAAGATAGTAATTATGATGGTGAAACATGTTATTGCACGGTGTGGTACATGGCAGGTTTGATATTCTTGGTTTTAGCTTGGACTACAGCCTTGTGTGAACCCCGGGGCGTCACACCAAAGAATCAGAATAAGAGGGTCAAGCTTGACCATGAGCCTCAACCTAAAAAAGAGAGCGAATTTGCAGGTATAGTCGAGAAGTTGGCAGAACCTAAAGTTGCCATAGTCGGTGATGAACCTCAATCGTGGTTACGATGACATCGATGATTGTACAGCTTTTTGAGCCTTTAGTTGTACCAACCTAGGCTTCTCCGGTAGTCTTTGATGTTTCAAGCATGTTGGCTTCACTTGCTTCATTCTTCATGCTGACTGGGGTTTTATTCCTGACGACCTCAGCTGCTCCTCTTGCTACAACTGAGCCATTAGCAGTTGCAACTAAAGCGAGCTCATGGAGGTTAGTAGCGGTTAAGATTCTTTCCCCTCCAGACATTGATGATTTTGCTGAGTTCGAGATTTAGATGTTAATCAAGAATTTGATGAGGCCATTGAATTAGAGTGTTATGGGAACTTTGGTTAGAGGTAAGGGCTTATTTGCTAACACCGGATGCTTTTTGCAGAGTTATATTGATATTCTCATGTCAATGCTAGAGCTAGACTTGCCAAGCTCTATCAGAGGATGATTAGCCAAGAGAACTCCACTTTTAGAGGTTACATACCCTTTGCAAGGCTGATGTCACTACTATTGCAAAGATTGAGTTTCAACATCTCATGGCACAATGCTGCAAGCTTGAGAATATGGATTTAAAGGAGATGAAATAAGTCAACCAAAGTCTAAGTGAACTAATCGCTCACCTTGCTGCTATCGACAATGAAAGTGCAAAATTCGCTAATACTATTTCTAATAGGTAGGCCACAATTGATGAGGCTAAGACTGTTATAGCTAAAGTATAGGCCAAGTTAGAAGCGGCTCAAAAGTAGAAAGAGGAGCTGCAGGCTAGGTGTATGGAGTTATCTAGTGAGCGAGTTTAGAGGAAAGAGCGCTTCAGGGCGGAATGAGCCTGATTAGATGCAATCAAGGCTCAAGTGGTTCCATTTAACCTAGAGGCTCTTCTATGAAGGGTCATTGACTTGCATAAGACTAGAATGGTCAAGTGTATTGACAACATCAATCCTCGTTCCACTAATAATTTGGCCTACCATCATTTTGCGCCTTTTGATTTGGACCAAAAAAATATATAATAGTTTATCTCTTTTGGTAGCAATTCAATAAATAATTTGCTTTTGGTTTTAAAGTTAAATGATAGAGGTATAATGTTAACATATCTTACAGAGTTAAGAATCATAAATGGCTCTAAGGGGAGAGTGACCAACTTGTGGGATTCAACTCATCAATATAAAGAAAGGAGTCGACGAAGGTATAATATTAACCAGTCAACGGAATAAACTGATAGAGGTTTGATTTTAATGTATCAGGTTTATAGAATGAGTATTGTTTAGAGGTGTAGTATTAACATAATAGTACTAAGGAATTTGACAAAGGTGTAGTGTTAAGTGCCAAATAAAATGGTAGACTTAGGTGTAGTGTTAACCAGTAGGATTCAAAAGAGTCCAAGGGACATATACTATTTGGAATTGTAATGTTAACTTAACAGTATGGAAGATCAATAGAAATGTAATAATGTTAACTAGTCAATTTTAGATGGGGGAAGGATTAACGTTCAAACCGTTCAAAGGTGCAATGTTAACATGACGGTGGCAAAAGACACCTAGAGTCAAACAAAGGTGTGATATTAACCTGATGACTTACCGGGAAATTTTCAGTCAAGATCAAACTAAGATGATTTGTGACTTTGGTGCAAAAATAATCTTGTGTTCAGAGGTAAAAGTTTAAACATGACCGATATATCCATGGGAGAGATAAAAGGCTCAATTTAGGGGTAATATTTCTTAAAACATTTCTCATTGATCAGTGCCATAAGCCTGTTACCGTTTGGGTTGATCTGGTGGTATTCCTTATTTGAGTAGACTATTACTACTGCAAACAGGCCTTCCTATTTGTTTTGTAATTTACCTTTAGTCTTATGTTTCATGACCATGGGTCAATGAATAGTAAGATTAAGTCTCCTTTCTTGAAGGATCATTGCTTACTCATTTTGTTGAAGGTTCTTGATATTCGAGGCTGGTACATCTTGATTCATTATTAAGCTTTAAGTCTCAAATCATCCAATGCCTTTCGTTCTTGCAGACACTTTTGACAATGTTCTTTGGTTATTATCTTCTCCGTTAGAGTACTTCCCAATGATGGAATTTGGATCTCTACACTGCTAAAAAATTAGGCATCCTAGACGGAAAATTCCGTCTAGGATACATAGAATTCCGTCTAGGATGTGTATCCTAGACGGAATTCCGTCTAGAATAGCCGTCTGGGAAGTTTCCGTCTAGAATACTGTATTCTAGACGGAAATTCCGTCTAGAATACATCCTAGACGGAATATTCTAGACGGAATTGAAAACCGTCTATAATACATTCTAGACGGATTATTCTAGACGGAAATTCCGTCTAGAATACTGTATTCTAGACGGCAAAATTTTCCGTCTAGAATGAGTATTCTAGACGAAATTTCCGTCTAGAATACTCATTCTAGACGGAAATTGGTTTTTTTATTTTTTTTTTATTTTTTTATTTAAAAAAGGCATCCTAGACGGAATTTTAGTATCCTAGACGGAATTTCCGTCTAGGATACTGTGCTACAGTAATTTTTTTTATTTTTTTTATTTATTTTTTTTTTTTTACAGAGTCTACTTTGGGTGCATGTACACAATATTGAACAACAAAAAATTATATTCATATCCAACACAATCTAATTACATTACAATATCAAATCCCATTATATTCAAATAATACATTCACCAAAATAGTAAAGAGATACATAAATTGTTTACAAACTTTTACATAAATTATTTACAATGGCTATGACACTGCAGAAGCTTCTTCAACTCCTTGCTGAACTTTCCGCTTCGTTTCACACACTCCATGAAGGGACCAAAGCAGCTAGCTGTCACATTTGCTGTTTAATTCATCGAATAATGTTTTAAAACACCATTCGCAAGCCATAGCAACAAACGTTGTTCGATAACCTCAAGTTTACATAACAGTTGTCCATTTCCTCATGTCAGATTCGATCAATGAATATTTGTAATCTCTATACTATTATTTGTATTGATTCTCTGACACAAGATCACAAGCTTAACAAATGTAAATGACATAAAGTATCATATATTAATACAAACCAAGCCAAAAGAACAATAAAGAGATGCAATGTAAATAATTAAGCACATAAGTTCATCATAAAAGGTTCTTTCTAGCACTCCAACAAACGTTTTACGATATTTATCTCCACTAACAAAGATAAAAAACTGATCATAAAACTGCAAATTAGCCGACACTACTTATAATTGTAATCCTAGGTTTTCGAAATTAAAATCAATCGCATAATTAATTTACTTTTCGCAATTAAAATCATTAGGAAAAAAAAGAAAAAAAAAACAGAATACGGACCTCGATGAAATCCATGAGCAAGAACTCCGGCATCCACCTCGGCGGCCGGACCATCGACCGCCTAATAAGCTCCATCAGATCCTCCGGTCGCCTCGGCAACAAAACATCCGAAACATCCCTCCCCTCTCTCTCGACAAGCTCCCTCCTCTCCTCCTCACCAGCGACGATCCCCGCCGTCATCACCACCACCCTCTCCACCGCCCCCTCCCCCGCCATCTCCGCCACTCTATACGCCACAAACCCGCCGTAACTAATCCCCGCTACGCAGTACTTGTCGACCCCCAATCTCTTCATGGAATCGACCAAACACTTGGCCTGGAACTCGACGGAGCGGTCCGAAGCGGCGGTGGTCGAATCGCCGAAGAAGAGGAGGTCGGGGATGTAGAGGTCGAAGGATCTGGGGGAAAGATAGAGAGCGGGAAGGAGTTAGAAAGAGAATTGGGGAGGGGGGAGGGGGGAGTGGGGTTCTTAATATATTGATTTTGGGCTGAAAATTTTGGGGGGAGAAATTTCGATGTGGGGGGAAATTTTAATGGGTTAATTTTTTTAAATGAGCCAAAATATCCTAGACGGAAATTTCCGTCTAGGATGAGTATCCTAGACGGAAATTTCCGTCTAGAATATTTGGTTATTTATTAAAAAAATAAAAAATAAAAATACCGTCTAGAATACTATTATAGACGGAATATTCCGTCTAGAATACTTTATTCTAGACGGAATATTCTAGACGGAAAATTTCCGTTTAGTTTAATACATTCTAGACGGAAAAAATTCCGTCTAGAATGTTCCGTCTAGAATACTCGATTTTCTACTAGTGCTAGTAGTACTAAAAATTCATATCCGTATACCAAGAAGAAGAGCATAGCATAGTGGGAATGTGGATCATTGTTCAATAGGTACAAAGACATTCTCCGAGTTCTTTGTTCTAATCTCGTTTGTTGGAAAAGATAAACTTTTTGAGAAGTTTGATGATGGTCTTGTTAAATGCTTCAACAAGACCATTAGTAGCCAGGTTGCATTGCATAGAAGCCACATCTTATATTCTCAACTTGTTATAGAATTTGAGGAATGGTTGACTTATGAATTGAAGATTGTTATCGTTGATCCTTCAGGGGATGCCAAACTGATAGATGATGTGATGTTTCAATAACTTGACCACATTAGACGTCTTGACCTCTTTGAGTGGGGCTAACTTTACCAAATTGGAGAAATAATCTATAATGGCCAGGATAAACTGGAGGCCTTTGGTTTATAATGGGCTAATTGGTCGGATGATGTCCATTCCCACATCTCAAACGACCATGAGGTGATGGCTAGAAGTAGTTCTTCTGAGAGTTGATGTAGGAAGTCTGTATGGTATTGACATGCATGACACCGATGGACATAAGCCACTATATCTACAATCATCATTGGCCTATAATAACCTAGGCACAGAGTTGGTTTGGGAGTTTGGGTCTAGTTTGATGAGCTCCACATCTACCAGCATGGGCTTCTTTAAGCGCTTCTTAAGCTTTTCTTGATGATAGATATCTAGACCGTATGCCATCAAATCAGCGGTATAGTGTCTGTGTGACAAAGTCAAAAAAGAATCAAGGCACTCTCCTTTGGATGGAGATTTCTTCTTTCGGATTATCGAGAAATATGCCATGTAAGACATAGCTGACGATTGGATAATACCAATCATTGTGTTTGAAAACTCTTTATGCTGTATGAATCTCATTAGCTTCTAGGATCTACTTTGGGCAACATAACTAGCAGCTAGCTATTGTAATGTGCTTTGTAGAACTAGATGTTAAGGCTAAAGTAGTCGCGAGTGATGCCAAAGCATCGACATAAGTATTTTGAGGAAAGCTACATAATTAATGTAGATGTCTTCAAAAGAATGAGTGAGTTTCAATGTCGTTTCATGGTGTGGCAAGAGATTATTGCGTTGGACCTCGTATTCCCCCTTAATCTGGTTAACAATTAGTTTGGAATTGCTATAAGCTTCAAGGTACTTCACGCCCATATCGTTAGTGAGTAGTAGGTCGATTATGAGGGAATTGTACCCAGCCACATTATTGGAACATGACTCAGTCAATGAGTATGCTTAGGGAAGGATGTGACCTTGGGGATCAATTAGCACTCCCCCACACTTGTAACTATAGTTTCTTCATGTCCCCGTAGCGATGTGCCATTGAAGTAAGGTTGCCACACTTGGTTGTTTGAAGTGACATTTGACTCAAATACCTCATCTGGAATATCCTCATGGAGCTTGGAAGACTCAAGGATAGGATAATTCAAAAGGAAGATTGTGATTGCTTGTCCTTTAATTGCTTTTTGAGGGTACAAATGTCATATTGTATTGAGAAAACAATATTGCTCATTTTGCTAGCCAAGAATTTAGAGATCCTATGTTTGTCATGAGTACTCATAAGAGTTAATTCTTGAAATGACATGGATGGTTTGACTAGTCAAGTAGTATCGCATTTTCTTAACGACAAAGACTGGAGCTAGTCACTCCTTTTTGACTGGGTTATAGTGATATTCAGCGTCGATCATGGCTCAGCTTAAGTAGTAGATGGCTTGTTCATAGCATTTGTCATTCTTTTGAGCAAGAGGTGCTCTGAGAGAGTGGTCCTTGGCCCTTACATAGACTAGGAATGACTTATTTGATATTGGAGCATCTAGAACATGTGGCTTCATGAGGTATTATTCAATCTCATCGAAGGCTTTTTGACAAGCATTGTCCCAGACGAATAAAAAACCATTCTTCATCAACTTTTGAAATGGCTAACAGCTTTTGGATAAATTAGCTATGAACCTACAGATATAGGCTAGGCATCCCTGTAAGCCTCTAAGTTCTTTGAGATTTCTCGGAGGTGGCAACTCTTAGATTGCTTTGACTTTTACTAGGTCGATGTGTATTCTTTTAGATATGATAATAAATCCTAGAAATTTGCCTATTGATACCACCAAGAAGGAGTTAGCCGAGTTCATCTTGAGTTGATGCCTAAACAAAATCTCAAATACCATTCTTAAATCATAGAGGTGATCCTCCTTACGGCGGATTTTGATTGTGAGGTTGTCAACATATCATTTGACCATTTTGTGTAAGTGCTTGATTATGAGTTTGTCATCATAGCATTCGACCATTGTGCATAAAGTGCTCAAGAAAAATTATACTCATCATGTGTTGATAGGTAGCTCCAGCATTCTTTAGGTTGAAGGGGCATCACCGTATAGTTGTACACCCCAAACGGTGTTCAAAATGATGTGTGTTTCTCATTTTCCTAATGCATCTTGATCTGATTGTATCCAGAGAAGCCATCGATAAATGATATCCTCTCAAACCCACACATTCATCAATCATGATATTTGTGACAAGGAGAGGGAATTAGTCTTTTAAGCAAGCGATCTTTGAATTCAATGTAAACTTGAATCTTCCTATTTTTCTTTTTCATGATAAAATGTTGGCAATCCATAGTTGGTGTTGTTCTTTATGAATGAAACCACGTTCAATGATTTTGTAAATTTCTATCTCAATCTTCTCTATTAGTTTAGTATGAAAATATCATTTTTGTTGTTTGACTGGCTTAATTCTAGGGTCAATATTGAGACACTACATGGCCACGTTTAGATCTAGCTCATGCGTATCTTTGTAGCCCTAAGTGAAGACGTTAATATATTCTTAGATGAGAAATATAAGTTCATCTTTTTTAGCTGGTGATAAGATCTTGCTGATGAAGATGGGTTTGACATCAGTCTCATCACCTACATTGATGTGAACTACCTTTTCTTTAGTTAGTGACTCGCATAGTTCGAAACATGATTCTCGTTGGACCCCATAGTGTTTTACCCAAGGATCATTCTCTAGATAATTGAATTTTTTTGATTCATTAGGCTCTTTGGTTTAGCTATATAAAGTCATGTTGACTATGAACTCTTTGAACATGATATTGACACTAATGTCAGAATCCCAAACAGATGTATCTAAAGAATGACTTGGTAACTTCTCTAACCTTAGTTCTATCTACATGGTGGATTTTAGGGAGAGATATTTGAGCCCATGTTTGGTCAAATTGAAGTGTTGGTGGAACTCATCATTGTTCGCGGGGAAAACTGTTTTCTTTTTCATTGAGATAATTGTCATCTTAGGTTACAAAGATCCGGTCTTTTATAGATCCGGTTACAACTAAATCAAAGAAAATAAAGAAAAATTACAACTTTCCTTCTGTGAACAAATCACGAGCTCCTATTTTGCGGTCGCTCGCTTTGGTGGGTTCTTTGCCTGCGCCGGGGTTAATCCGTGGACCACCGCGCGATCTAGATCCGGTCGGATCTACACGAGTATGCGGGTATTATTCCACGAAGGGAATAATAGCCGGGAGGGATTAATCCACCAAGGGAATAATCGCTCGGATCTCGAGATCTAAGACCAAGCTTAGATCTGGAGTGTAGCCTCGTGTAGATCTCAGATCTGTTCTTTCTTCCTCTCGAAATCCTGCCTTTTCTGACGTGGATGCTCGCCGAGGATCAGATCCGAATGTGCAAGTCTTCAAGTCTTCAAAGCTCCGAGTTCACTCTTCAATCCGGCAGAGTTTCGGCTCTTGAAAGTTCCACCTCCGAAAATGAACATCTCTAGGCCTATTTATAGGCTCTCAGGACAGTGCCCGCAAAAAGAGAAACGTCGGCCACCGTCGGCCACTGTCGGCCACCTCTGGGTGGCCGGCACTGTGCCGAGCCACCCAGAGGTGGCTCGCCGAGCCACCTCAAGGTGGCTCGGCTAAGGCCGAGCCACCTTGAGGTGGCTCGGCTTTGGCCGAGCCCCCGCGGGCGGTGTTTTCCGACTTTTTCGAGTCGTTTTCCGTTGTCTCGTTTGTCCGTGTTTCGGTTGACTTGAGACTCTGATTTGATGATCTGATTTGGCAGTAAGTCGGATTCCTGATTTGGCAGTAAATCCGCTTCTGAGTTCGAGTCCGAAACTGATCTTGATTCGATCGTGATTCGTCCGAGTCTATTTCGGTTAGATGACTCGTTGATTCCTTAACTCGTTAGCTTGATTCTGCACGCGGGTGGATTCATTCCGTTGTTCGCGTGCGACTTGTCGATCTCGTCGCCTCGTTGGTTCGTCGGTTTGTGCCGAGCTATGCTAGGGGACCTATAAGCAATTTTATATGCCTACAGATACCCCCTCCAAAGTATTTCAGTCTCGTTCTTTTATAGAAGAGTCTGGG